ATCTGTTGGTGTAAGTGTTGGAGAAGTAACTCACTTCAAGGTTAGGTTAGAAATTAAGGTTTAGGGTTAGCATTTTAGATAAGCCTGGCTACACTCCCAATCATATTTGTTAATTAGCTAGTCTTAAGTAACAAGGTAATAAGGTATTCAGCTGTACATAATTAGTTATGTAACTAACACACCACTACTGTAAAACATTTACCTAATGGTAATGTGAGCTACCTCACCAGCACTGCAGCTAGCTAGCTACTTAATTTGTGTGGCTAGCTCAGTAGCTATTTGACAGGAGCTTGGTTTGCAGGGCTGCAGCTAGATGTCACACAAACACAAAGCTCATATAAGGGTGTCATGAAATACGTATGTTCAGATTCGATACGAGTTTCAATTCTGAGGTCTAGATTTGAATCTATTTTAAATCTTTTATGAGTTTAGGATGTCTTTATTCTACATGTTTGGCTCAGATAAATAAAAGTAACAAAATAAATTAAAAATCACAACTTCTGAGAAAGTCCACTTTAATCTGATAGGACGCAGATGCCTATAGTTTTGATCAGTGATAGAGGTTCTACAAAGGACAGTAAATGAGGAGGAGAACAGAGCAAGAGATATATCAACAATACAGTTGTCATTTTCTATACATGGTTTTGAACATTCATTCACTGAAAATATATTACACCTTTAGTTTGTGTAGTTTCTGGTTTTATCCTAATGATAATAATAATGATAATAGTAGGAGTACTAGTAGTTGCTAATAGTAATAATAGTAATTATAATAATATATTTAGTATGTATAATAGAACACGAGAGGGAATGTGTTATCACGAAATAACATCACGGCTGTGATTTGGTCGCCGTAGATCATCACAGCCGTGATGTTATAGCGATAACACACGACCTTGAGTGTTCTATTGCTTTTATACAACAGTTAAATAAATAAAGTAAGAAACAAATAAATTGGGCAGTGAATGTGGCATTTAGTATGTTTTAATGTTAGCAGTTCCTTCCGCCAAATTATAGTTCCTTAACAAGCAGCTTGTTGCTATGTCAGAGAAACGAGTTTCGCTCACTCGCTGCACAGCCGGAGCCGGCAGTTCGTTCTATATACACTATACAAAATATTCACTCACCCATCCAAATCATTGAATTCAGGTGTTCCAATCACTTCCATGGCCACAGGTGTATAAAACCAAGCACCTAGGCATGCAGACTGCTTCTACAAACATTTGTGAAAGAATGGGTCGCTCTCAGGAGCTCAGTGAATTCCAGCATGGTACCGTGATAAGATGCCTGTGCAACCATTCCAGTCATGAAATTTCCTCACTACTAAATATTCCACAGTCAACTGTCAGTGGTATTATAACAAAGTGGAAGCGATTGGGAACAACAGCAACTCAGCCACGAAGTGGTAGGCCACGTAAAATGACAGGGCAGGGTCAGCGGATACTGAGGCGCATAGTGCGCAGAGGTCAATCGCTACAGACCTCCAAACTTCATGTGGCCTTCAGATTAGCTCAAGAACAGTGTGTAGAGAGCGTCAAATGCAGTGGTGTAAAGTGCCGCCACTGGCCTCTAGACCAGTGGAGACGTGTTTTCTGGAGTGACAGATCACGCTTCTCTGTCTGGCAATCCAGTAGACGAGTCTGGATTTGGCGGTTGCCAGGAGAACGGTACTTGTCTGACTGCATTGTGCCAAGTGTAAAGTTTGGTGGAGGGGGGATTATGGTGTGGGGTTGTATTTCAGGAGTTGGACTCGGCCCCTTAGTTCCAGTGAAAGAAACTCTTAATGCTTCAGCAGACCAAGAGATTTTGGACAATTTCACGCTCCCAACTTTGTGGGAACAGTTTGGGGATGGCCCCTTCCTGTTCCGACATGACTGCGCATCAGTGCACAAAGCAAGGTCTGTAAAGACATGGATGAGCAAGTTTGGTGTGGCAGAACTTGAGTGGCCTGCACAGAGTCCTGACCTCAACACGATAGAACACCTTTGGGATGAATTAGAGCGGAGACTGCGAGCCAGGCCTTCTCGTCCAACATCAGTGTCTGACCTCACAAATGCTCTTCTGGAAGAATGGTCAAAAATTCCCATAAACACACTCCTAAACCTTGTGGAAAGCCTTCCCAGAAGAGTTGAAGCTGTTATAGCTGCAAAGGGTGGGCCGACATCATATTAAACCCTATGGATTAAGAATGGCATGTCACTCAAGTTCATATATATATATATATATATATATATATATATATATATGCTGCTTGATGTCTGATGCATTGTTTTATCATAGTTTTGTGAGTTTGTGATAAAGTTTTTGCTTAAAATGGATTTCCATCCATTTACTGTGATCTATTTATGGCGGAGGGGCACATGCAGGGTGTTGTAAGGCAAAACAGTCCCCAAATAAAACTTATTTTGTCAGATTTATGATTAGTACCATCATTAACGTTACATATAAAAGCTCAGGAGGCAGGTGTAGGTTCACTGGTGGTTTTAGTAGTAGTAAAAAAGTAGCAAATAAATGTCTATATTTGTGTTGTAGACATCGGGACTCCTGGTTCCTATCACCACCACTGTAAAGAAATCAGAATTGTTCAGAAATTTGAAAAATGAAAAATCAGTGGAGTTCCCCTTTAAGCACTCTCTACATTATTCTCTGTAACCACTAGAGGGTAAAAGACTCTCAGCACCAGTGCACTGTCTGCATATGTGAGCAGTTTGCAGTTCATGTCTGCAGTAAAGCTTGACCTGACTGAATGACCTTGATTAAAGCCAAACTGCACAGCCATCCAGGCCAGCAAGTCCGGTCTACAATTGGGTGCACGGTCAAGAGCCAGTGCCTTGAGTTAGTGAGAGCCTCACTGCAGCCCTTTGTCTTCCAGGTTTAATATGCAGCGCTGACTTTTTCAGATGGCTCTGAATGGAATACAGGATTAGGTTTCTCTGTGCATAACAGACTTTTCCATGAGTGAACCGTTAACTGTTTAAAGACTTTTATTCATACACACCTTAAAAAGGTGACATACCTTCACCCGTACCATCAAGAATAACTTGACACTTTCAGAAGCAGAATGGGTTTCATTGGCCAAGTCAGTTATATAAGAACTGCAAGAAATACTGTCTGGCAGTAGCTCACATTAAACCTTTACTGCATGAATTATGAAATATACATGAAAAAATATAGTGCCTAGGACATAGTCACGTTCATTACCCAGGCATGAAAAAAACATGTATAACAACTTCAATACCTTAATAAATGCTTTAAGAACACAAAAGTATGAAAATAATATTATTTATTTTAAAAAGTACATTTGTAAATATTTGTGTAATGTCCAATGGCAGAGTATTCACTGAACCCCATATGCAGATTGCAGTTCCATTGTCATATACTGTTGCCATATGACAATTATATTTTAGCATTTTATATAAAAACTATAAACTTTCTGTAACTTTTTTTGAGTTTGAAAATTGTGCTAAAGCTAAATCCTCTGCAGTGGCTGGAGTACTAGTGAAATTAAAATCCTATCACAAGTGATCACTGGAGATGCATTTGGAACACATTTGAAATGCCAGATGCAAATGGTTGTCTCGGCTGTCCATTTGAGGTCAGATCACTTGAGACGGATGTCAATACCAGGTGTTTGTGTTGATTGTCCCGTATCTAGCTCCTGAAGAAAGGTTCTAGAATGTAGAAGAGCAAGATGTGTGTTGACGACAGCATTGCCCACACTCAGCATGAACAGCATAAACACTCAGCATAGCTACGTGGTTGGAATCATTCTTAGCTTTGTGCCCTCTTTGTTTGGCCCTTCTGCTTGCTACAGGGAGAAATTAGCTCTCTCGTTTCTCAGGTCTAATCAGTGCTTCCTACTCTCAGAATCATGACCATGGAGGCCTATTATATCACCAGGATTTGAACAAATGATCGCTTGTCTCTTTATGATCAGATAGTTTAACCACTTGTTTTGCTGATTTTCTAAGTGAAAATAAGTACACATCCTCCATAGGGAACAAATGAAATATGGCATATACTTGTTTATTTTGCAAGTTTCAGTGCACAATTTCTTTCCTGAGTTTAACATACTTGAAAATATAATAATATGTGCTATCTGTTTTGCACAGAATACGTTAATAACGGCAAATAAATAGTAATTGTGCATGAAAATGTGCAGAAGTGTGCTCTCTGTAAAGGATGTGTACCAGTGGCACAGAAATTTGGAAACAACTGTTTCAAAAGGTTTAATGTTAATTTTGAATATTTTCCTTTCATAAATTTGTTTATGCACAAGTAGCTGGTTAATGAATGCAGTCATTGTTGATGATCCCTATGGTTTACGGTTTAGAGCAAGTTTTAGGGCAGGGCTGCCAATGCCTGGTCCTGGAGATCTACCACCCTTGGGGAGTTCAGATCCAACATATCTAGCTGTAATATTCAGATGCTCCTGAAGGCCTTCCTTACCTGGATTAGGTGTGTTAGATAAGGCTTGGAGCTAAATTCTGCAGGATGCTAGATCTCCAGAAGCTGGAGGTTTAAGAGCACTCCAAAAGCTTAGCCCTACGTGCCATGTATGGCATAATTTTTGGGGGGACCCCTGGTGTTCACTATTTTTTTATTACTGCCTACTGCATACTGTTTGATAAAGTTAAATTAAGTTATTCTAGTATGCTATTGTAAACCTTGCTTAGTTTTTCTATAATTGAATGATAAAGTATGCATTGGCTCTAAATGTTATATGTCACAGCTGTTCATAACAGCCTAGTTGTTTTTGATCAGTAAAGTCAGGGCCTGTGCTCTGGGTCTGATTGTATTTGCATTTACTTGGGCATCACAGACACACAGTAACTCAGTAGTAATAATATAAGAATCATTTCAGAAATAAAGTCCACTCCCTCCACCAATAAATCCAGTAACATTATGGTAAATTAATTTATTTCATTAATACTTCCTATGATACAGAATGACGAGAAGAAATGACAAGCATATAGATGCAAGTTCAGGCAGGTGTATCATACATGCTGTTTTAACAACACTGTTTTAAGAATATTAAGCAATATAACATCAATTAACACTCTGGGTAGCTAACAAAAGATAAGCAATGAAATCTAACAGAAAGCAAATATCTCATTATTGCATTATTCTGAACCAGTGATTCCAAAGGTATTTTCCCTTTGAAATAGACTGCAGTCTTGCAAAATGGACATATATGATTGTGTATGGATATAGATATAACACATAGGAGTGATTATACTAACATGAAATATACTGAATTAATAGCAGTATCTGGATATGAACAGACAGCGTAAGATTAATTGTGTACATCAACACCCTGTACTGTAAAAACTGTTTGAGCAAATGACATAAGAATGTGTATGCAATGTTGAGTTGAATAACTGTTGTGGAACTTTTGCACAAATGAGAAAAGCATTCTTGAAACTGCTCAGTTGGAATGTTTGACATCATTTACATACAACATTACAATTCCTTTAAATTACAACATCTTTGGCTACAAGTTGTATGAGCTTTGTAATCATTCAACATTCAACAGGTTTTTACTGGTGAAGATCACATCTTAAAGCAGTTCGCTTCGGTATCGCCCTTGACCACCCTAGATGCCAAACATTAACTTGAATGCTTGGAATAGTAAAGGGTCCACTGTCATTTCATCCAAATCGAAGGTCATGATGGTGTCGTCGTTTGTATAGGCATACTGTCTCTCCCATTCTTTCACCATTTGAGGGGTTCCATTACGCCCCAAACAAGCAGCCAGATGCACAGTGGCTCTTCTTTCTGTAATCATGAGTACAATTGATAACGCATATATGACCGTCTGGATATGGAGGACTGGGAAATTTATTTTCAAGTTTTCTGGGACAAGGTATGGGATGATGATACGATCACCACTTTGCAGGGACCCTCCAATTTCCTGAAATTCATTCCATACTGGTTCCTTGTGTCCCACAGGTGCAAGCAAAATTTGTGGGATGTCAGGTGTGGGTCTACTCATGAAATTCCAGTGCCTGGGCCAAATATTAGGGGAAACTGTGGCACGAGTCAGCCAATTGAGAAAGCGTGTTTGGTGAAGTCTGATGCACCCTTGAGCAATGCCATAGGCAGCACATGCATCAATAAGGCAGTTCCATGGAGAGTAGAGAACGGTATCAATGATGTTAGCTGGCACCAGGCTAGCTGCTGGCACAAACTGGTCAACAATAGCACCATGAGCAACAAACACAATGTGTAGTATGTCTCTTTTGTTTCGCCCCCTTATTTCCTTATCAAGGTTGTTCCTAATAAACCGAAGAAAATTCAAAATCTCAGTCTTATGCTCTCTTGTCTCCAGCCAGGAAACAATGATGGGGTCATGGCATGTTGCTTGGATGTAATCCACTATTTCCTGTTCATCTTCACTCATAACGAGAGAGTAATCACCCAGGTTTTTGATACGTTTCTTCAAATGTAATAAATTGTTGATGATGTCCCTGTAATAATAGACGTCAGACAGTGAAAGTCAGCTTGCATTATTAATGCTGCAGTAAAACCAGATTCATGTACATTACTATATGTCACTGATCATTAAGGTGCATTTAAGTTCTCAAATCCAATGTCATAATTCACTTGTGCAATGTTTAAGGTAAAGTTGGGCAAGATTTTTTTATGACACAATGTGTCACTTTATATTTACTTTTTCTGACATAAGTTAGAACATACAAAGAAGTGCCACATATTGAAAAAAAACATGAATCCAATTATTTGTGTTCAACATTTCATACAGTGTGTTACCCTAAATCCAAATGAAATTCTGCATATTTAAATGGTTAACATCAACAAAATTATTCAGAGTGGTTTGGTGTGAAATGCTTGGTTCTAAAGTAACATACAGAGTCAGACTTGTTCACAGTGGTGGTGACAGGAACCAGAAATCTTAAGAGCTTAATGCCTCTATAAACTCATTCTCAGAAAGTAATTATATGACATGGTTATAAATATACAGCCTGACAATTGTTTTACAGTGGTTTTGTGATAAATCTTTGGTCTATAATATGTTTTAAGCAATTTATTTCAATGCTTTCATGGTAGAGAAATACATGCAGGGTGTTCAAAGGCATTGCTGAGTATTTTCTTGATGATTATTTAACCATCATTAACGTTACATAAACTGAAACTCAAAAGACACATGCAGATTCACTGGTGATTTTGGATAGTAAGTAAAATGGCTACATATGCACTGTAGACATCAGGACTCCAGGTTCCTATGGTCACCACTGTAAAGAAATCTGAGTCGCTAAGTTTCTCTACAAATGAACAACTTCACATCAAACCATTCTGAATGACGTTACTTACATCTCAACCACTGAATTAAGTACTGCCGATATCACGGCACATCTACGTTTTGATAGGATGGTGATGCAGCTTTTTACTTTAACTTTAATTTAATTTTAAAGTTTGGATTTTGCTTTCATTTCAGGCAACCTGGGAAATAAGTGCAATTGTAAAAGCAAAAATTATGACCGTACAGCAGTGCATCCAACTTTTCCTTTAGAGTTCTTGTATCTTCCTTTATTTTTCTGGCAGCATCTCGCAGGGACTGGCTGGCTTTGGTCACGTAATTGTTTCTTTCCATCTCTTCACAGTTTTTAACCAAGTCATAGAGGGACACAACCACAGCTATAGAACTACCAGCAACCTGGACAAAGACAGAAAAATATGTACCAAAGTCAGTGTGAACAATGCTACTGAAATACACTAAAAAATCTAATTTCAAAATGTCAGCATAAATGGCTCATTGAGAGGCACATAAAGTAATACACAGTGTTTTGAAGCAAGAAAAGGTAACATTTCTAGAGAAATGTATGGATTCCAATTTCTTTACAACAGCAGTGACAAGAATCAGAAATTATGATCTTAAAAATGCAAAGAAAACTTTTGTGACTTCTGAGATTTATAAGTAGTAACGAAGTGATGAAGTAAGTGAGAAGTAAACACAAGGTAACCAGAACATGGTTTATACAAAGATATATTGTAGGTACAAACTTAATGTAGCTTTTAAAAACTTGTTAAGAATTCCAACTTGACAAGTTTCTCTGAGACAGGCCATAGTTCTTCAAAATACTCTGCATGACTGTTTAAACTGCAATGAGCAAATTATGCTGATTTTCTAATAAATTGACAGAATTATTCTTTAATATTTCAGTATGGCATTTTCTGTGATTACTAGATTTTACTGTAACATTACATTTTTGTCAACATGAAGGCTTAATATAAAATCTTAAAATTGAAAGAAAATAATTCAATACAAATGGAATATGAAAGAAAATAACTCCATACCATGGCTGATCGTTTTATGAGGGTTTTCAAACCAATGATCCCAAGATTCTTGACGGCATTTTTGGCTGATACTGTTAAGGTTGCATGCAATGTAAAGAAAAGAAATGTGGTTAAAGCCCCAGTCATCCAACTCGATGTGGCATAAGGTCTACGTTCACCAAAGGTCCGCTGATGAGAGAATGTGGCTTTGTTGAAGCTCCTGAGAAGGTCCAGAGGCACGTCAATCCTATTTCTTCTGGCCAGCGCTCCCATAATTTGAGAGATCACCTCACTCTCTCCATTATCAGAGGACTCTGCAGAAGAATGAGCTCCAAGCGCATTCCCGGCACACTGGTCATTCAAAGCTCTCAGTAGCACTTGCATCTTATCTCCAATTTCCTCAACTTCTTTAATAATTTTCTGAGCATCTTTCATGTTCAAGCTGGAGAGGATAGTCTCTATTGCTATGGAGGAGAAGCTTACAGCTGTGCCAATTGCTCCTCCAATTGCTAGAGGGGCCGCCAGGCCAGCTGTAAGGAATGTGGCAACTGCAGCTGCAGCAAAGCTGACCACAGCTGTGGCATTTCCAACTATCTGAGTTGTGTTGCTCACGCATCGAATACTCTCCAGCTCTTTTGCTAGAGCCAGAAGCTTATCAGCACAAGCTTCCTGTTTTTTTTGCCACTGGAAGAGCAGCTCAACCAACCTATCTGCTTCCTCCATTGAGAATAATTAAAGGGCAGTAGGAAAGACTGTAAAGAGACAAGAACAAAGAAGTAAAAAAAACACGACTGGACAAAAGCTAAATGAATTCTGTGAAGCAACCTCATGAATATATTGTAAAATCTCTGTGATTTGACTGAAAGGACTATTGTGGCCATTTAAGAGATCCAAAGGGTAAACTCATAATGTTTATCTCTGACAAACAGATTAATAATTCATTACAAACTTAATTATTATGTTATTAATGTACTTGTATGAACCCCCTGTCAAAAACCTGAAGTTAGGTGACACTACAGTCACAGATCTCGTCTGGTGCAGTTCATCATAGACTACTCATACAGCAGTCATGCACTCTAATTGTATTGTATTGGATTGTGTTGTATGGTATTGTTTTGGATTGAAGCATATTGAAGAAATGTTTTGGCATGTCATTTTTAGGTTATGTTTGCTCCAGCATTCATTGCACTTGGTTCATCTTGCTATGGACCTCTGTGATTGGAGAGGGAGGCTAGGAATTGCTGGGGGTGTAAATCATCGCTGTCCAAAGTTTTCTACATCATTTGGGCATGGCTGCTATCCTATACATTGTGTAAAAAATTCATGATGAATGGGCCAACAGAAATGCTCCATAATTGCTTGGAATAAAATCTCGTTACATTAACTTACATTAGAAGTAAAGAACATTTTTGCCCTCTCCTGAAAAGCTGCCATTTTGGAGAAAGAAACATGTTTTTCTTTGGTTAGTGGTGAAGTATAAATGTTATAGTTTGTCATCACCACCTCCATCACAGTCTGGTTTAGTTCTGCAACCAAACATGACATTCACAAGCTACATCATTAGGTCTGAAGAAAAGACCATTGGTGTTAACCCACTCGCTCTGTTTGATCTATACACCTCCAGAACTAAAAAGCATGCAGAGAAAATTATTGTTGATCCATCACATGACCTATTTTAGCTCCTTCGGTGCTTCACCCAAATGAGGGTTAAAACAACTCCAGAAAAGTTTCTTTCCTCACACCATTATACTTATGAACAATTATTGCACATAGGCATTGTTGTATTATGTGACAAGCTGTTTTTACACATTTCTCAGCGTACAGACAAATACAAAACAAGTTTTGACAGCAATCAAGCAGATATTTCACCAGAAGCACGCTGTAAAATGTTTATGTATCATAAAGGTTCTTTTTTCCATTGTAGCTAAATGATTTTCGATCATGGCTGCCATAATAAGCCAAAAAAGCAGTTGCCTAGGCCCTAAAACTGTATTATCATGTTGTACTGTCACGAGGTGGTGAAGAATGTGCCCCTTGGCCGCTTGATGGCTAATAATTTATTGCAAGAATGGCACTAAAATGACATGGATCGAATTTTAACAAATTTTAGCATCATTCATGATTCCTGCATGTTTAACTGCACCTGCTCTCAAGCCCTGCCTCATTTTCTCGGCCCTCCAATCACTGCTTAGTGACCGAAAGCAGAAATAAAAAAAAAAAACATATTTGAATTCATCTGTGTTGTTGACACCTCCATCAGCTGAACAGCACGAAACTGTCACAAGTGAGTCGTTTCATTTGCTATAAAGTGAACTGCTAAACCTCAACACAAAACACCATCATGATGAGAATAACAAAAACAAGTTAAAATACTTCAAAACATCATCATGTGAATAGAACTAATGATAAATTAGAAAAATTGAGTTAATTAACAGAAATCAACAACACTGATAAAAATTCTGGGAAGCTTTGGACAAAAGACTCTTAAAGTACTGTATAAAAAACAGTAAGTGTTACTAGATTTGCATTAATAGGTTTACAGATGAGTAAAGTCAATTTCAAAAAGTTAGTGCCATTGTCATGTTTTACAGGGGAAAACTCTTTGCTGTTATGTTAGCAAGAAAAGTTGCACAAAGTACTATATGAATGTATGTAATATTTCTTTCATATTGTATGTGAGAGATGGAACTAATTTACCTTAAATACATTATTTCCTGTTTTTTACATTATTTTTAGATGCCAGTAATTATGGAGCTGTTCTACATGTTTTAATTTACCAGCGAGCCTATTTTATCATTATCAGATACTACTTATAAAACTCAGAAAATGCATGTAGGTTTTGATTGTTTTGAATCTTAAATAAAATACTATATTCATTGTAGACATCTCAACCCTGGGTTTCAATCACCATCACTGTAAAGAAATCTGAACTGCTGTAAGTGTACCTTGTGAGGTCTAACAAGGCTTAATGCAGTTTGGGCCTTATTCACAAATGGAAGTTAAAAATGAAAGGAAGTCAGAGATTATCAAAAGGCCCTCATTTGCAATAAATGTTGAACGGTGGTCTTTAAACATGATACATGCTAAAGTCTTTGAATGAGTCAAAATACCAGAGAAGTCCAATTTATGACATAACATGCAAGTGCAAAGTTATTAAGGACAGAAAACTTAATTAGATTGCACTGATTGCTTATCTGTGGACTACATAATATGATCATAACAGGATTTTTCTACATTTTAAGTAGTTGAGTGCTATAGCACCCCCTGCAGGCCAATCTGGACCAAAATGTGCACACCTCATCAGTGTCTCTATATACACAAGCGTTTGAAATATTGCATTGATCAGACCAGTTGCTTTTGAGTTATAACAATTTAAGTTAGAAATGCCACAGCCACAATGACTGATTGGTAGAGGGAGACCATGTCGAACAAAAAAGTCAACATTTTTGGTAATTATTTACAGAGGCCACATTTTTGGTAATTATTTAACAGAGGCCACAGAGTATCTCAAAGCCAACTTGAAAATGGCTTAGTACAAAAAGTGCAGTTTTCAAATGATTAGTGATTGAAAAATATTTCAGATTTTTTTAAAAATACATTTGTATTGCAAAGTTGTTTGGAACACTGTACTGCATTATTTGAAACCAGTTACCTGACCATACTAAAACATATGTACAAGATATATTTGATTTTCATGAACAGCACCGCCAAATCTTTTGAAACTTCATTGTTTATTAGAAAGCTAGTGACAGCCATAAATATTGAATTATCAAGTCATCCTCAGAAATCTGTCTCAAAGATGCAGAATGCAAAATTTCAGCTTGATCGGATGGATGGGTGCTGAGAAACAGTTATTGAGCAGTTAAATCGCTGAAATCTGTGCAAAGTTTGAGATTTTTTAGAAAAAGATACAGATTTTTTAGCAGAATTTGACATAATTCCAGAAAGGTTAATTAGCATATGGCAGCCATATTGCTTACAAAAGACACCATGTTTTTGTTAACTACTGAGGTTCATTATTGAGGTTCTTGCAAACTTTTTGATACCAGTTACATGAGGATCATGTAGGCAGAGCTAAATTGTCCAGATTAGAAAATAGTTTGAACCAAAGAATCTTGAGGCCAGTAGGGCTTATATTGTGTGACTGTGTAACGGCACAAAATACTATCTAATGACTAACTTTTATGTCTCTGTGACTTACAGTTTGGTCTGCCCATATTGTTTTGTGGCAGAATAACAACAACAACAACAACAATAATAATAATAAGAAGAAGAAGGAGAAGGAGAAGAAGAAGAAGAATAAGAAGAAAATCGCTAATAAAAACAATAGGGTACTATGAACATGCATACTTGAAATTGAATTAAAAATGATGGTTCATTCTCAGTTTAGAATTTAAACACAAGATATATAAAAAAGTTTTTTTTTGGTTTCTGTAGTCAGAAATAGCAGACACAAAAACCAAAAAAATAAAAAAATAAAATCAAAAGGGAACTGGCACAGAAAAAGCACACATGCTTAATGTGTTGAGCAGCAGCACTTTCATTTTCAGTCAGCCCTTCAGGGTGGGGTCACAGCAGAAAAGCTAAAAGGGGTTTTATCTGATACGTAGCAGCTGAGCAGATCAGATGAAGCAGAGCAAAACCTAAAACATTAGCTCACAGTGTAGCATTATAACCAGAAAATAAAGATGTGAATGTTTCACTGAGTAAATGTTCAACCATCAATCAAAACTATACTAACAATATATCAGCCAGTCTGTATTACCCTGTACATTCAACCCCCTACAAGATCTGCACACTCACTGATATAACATCTTAGCAGTCCAGCGCTTTAATTTTGTTGTCTATAAGCAACTTATTAGTGGTGCTAGCTTTGAAAGACACACATCAGATCAATACACTTTGACATGTGAAATATCTAAATTCAACAAGTAAGTTATGAGTCCTCAACTTCTAACATAAAAAATGCTTACTTACAATAGACTATAAGCCTAGAGGTCTGTATACCTTTCGATTATTTGATTTTTATTTCAGAAACAGAAATAAAAAAAATGATAAATGTATGGTATAGTTGTTTCTCATTTTAAAATCTAAAGATGAGGTATGAAAAACAAGTCATTTATCATTTTTGTAGTCAGAAATAGCACATACAAAATTCAAAAGGCACTTACCTGTTCTTCTTTGTAAAATAAAAGGGAACTGGTACAGAAAAAGCACCCGTGCACGCTTTATATATCAAGCAGATTTGCACTTTCATTTTCAGTTTACAGTCAGGCCCTCAGGGTGGGGTCACAGCAGAAAAGCTAAAGGGGGTTTTATCTGATACATACTGAGCAGAGGAGATGAAGCAGATCAAAACCTAAAACATTAGCTCATACTGTAACATTATAACCAGAAAATAACTAAGAGAATTTTTCAATTTATCACAGAGTAAATGTTCAACTATCAATCAAAATGATACTGACAATACATCAGGCGGTCTGCGTTACATTCCAATACATTTTTCTTTAATGTAGGTAGGGATAGGTTTGATCTAATAACCAGGGCATGACATGCAATGTTATGTTAGCACTAAAGCTTATGTAGTGTATATTTACATTCAACGGTATCTCTAGCTTAAACAAGGACCCTTGTACATATACAAACAGTATTCTTTACTTGCTTTGGGGATCTCTGACACACAAATTAACATCCTCTACCAGCGCTACTGCTTTGGCTGTGTTTACATCTCCATAAAAATGAGAAAACACAAATTCAACCTTTGTATTAGAGAGCCTGTATGATATGCAATCAGTCAAAAGACTTTATCATCTTTGCTTTTGGGATTTTACTGTTTGTTTTAGACGAATTAGTCAGCTTGCTAACTGTGATGTTAACTCCATGGCTAACTTCAGCTACACAGTCACCCTACTGCCACTGACCTTACCTGTTAACTATAAAGTTTTGCTACAGATGCAATGTGCAGCAGTATACTATGGCACATATATAGTCATATCATAGAATTATGTTCACTTTTGTGTTTTTACTGTTTGTGCTAGACAAGTTAGCCAGTCGGCTAACTGCAATGTTAGCATCTTAGCTAACTGCACACTGGACACAAGTCACCCCACTGCCGCCAACCGCACCAACTGTCTATAGTGCTGCCAACTTTTACATTTTTGTTAGAGTGAGATTTCAGTGGGCCTGGGGTCCCTGCTGAAAAAAACAGCACAGACAGGCATTTCATGCTGGTCTAGTGCTGGTCTGGTTCTGGTTTAGCTGGTCACCCCAGCATGGTCAGGCTGGTTGACCAGCATACCAGCATCAAAACAACATCTGCTGGGTTTGGTGGCGATCAGTATATTAACTTCTATTGCTGCTGATCAGCACACCAGCACCCAAAACACAACATATTGTAGTGTTGTTACCCTGTCCCAAATTTTTTGAAAATGGGCATATACTTTTCAAAAACAGTAACATTTTTTCAATTTCAACATTTGATATGTTGTCCTTGTACTATTTTCAATTAAATTAAGGGTTTAAATGTTTTGCGCTTCATTGCTTTCTTTCTTGATTTACCATTTGCACAGCGTCCCAGCTTTTTTGGAAAAAGGAAACAGGATTGTATATTTAAAATAATGTTAACATAGGACAGACAGTATGTTTAATGCATTTGTACAATGCATTAAACTTCAGCATCTGTGAAGTCATCGGTTTTTCATGCATGATTAAAAATTCATTCATTCTATTCATTATTCTATTTACATCTATTCAGTCTAGTATACAGTAATGATAATAAAGCCTCCAGTTGCCATTATTCTAGTGTAAAGAAAGCCATTATGTGAGAAACTGTAAAGTTTACAGCAACAGTATGAGAGGGTGCCGCTCTATAACATATAGCACTGCCTGTGCCAGGGGTCTATTAATTGGGACATACCGCCCTCTGGTGGAGTGGATATTGTAATTACACACCAGGCAGGAAATAGTGCCTTCATGTGGAATGAGTGTTGTAAATGCACAACGGTCAGATACACTGTGGACATGGATTAAACTGGACTGCTTTGCAATGAGCATGATGTTTCTTCATTAAACATCCTGCTTGGTTCAGATTTAGGCGTTCTGGGTGTGCGAAACAGGCCAAGTAGTCTACAAACAAACTTTTGACAAACTTTATAACGTACTAAAGACTGTTCAGCAGAAGTAATGACAAGCCTGATAAAGCCTGCCATGCTAATTTAGCCTCAGAAAGTCTAAAATGACATTGATAAGAAAGATGTAATGCAATTTATAGAATTAAAATAAATAAATAAAAGACATAGTGGCAGAGATGTACATGAAAGGCATAATTAGGCAAAATAGTACCCAAAGGAAACTTGTTTTTTTTCTCATTTGCTACTATTTTAACATTATCAACATTACATATAAACATTCAGAAGACAAATGTAGGTTCACTGGCCCCAGTATATACATAATAAAGCTAAATAAAGCATATTATGTGAAATTTAATTAACCTAATAATTCATAATTAAATAATGAAGATGTAAACAGTCAGAGTGGTTTGACGTGAAGTGCTCCAGTTCAGACAAACTTACGGATTTAGAATAGCTCACAGTGGTGGTGATAGGAACCAGACATAACCCATTCATGGTGGAGAGGTACATGCAGGGCATTCTAAGGCAAAACAGCCCCAAAGAATTCAGATTTACAGCTACTTTACTATCATCAGCATTGCATATAAAAACTCAGAAGACACATTGTGACCCCTGGGTCGTATCACCCCCGCACCACTTCACACCAAACTACTCTGAATTATTTTTCTTCATGTTTCATTTGTAAACATCTGTGAAATTCAGTTTTAGGCCCAATCCCATTTCTTCTACCCCTTGTTTTCGAGTGTCACCCTAACCCCTTTGAACTGAGTTACTATTTACATTTAGGGCATCATATGCTTTTAAAGAGGGGGTTTAAGGCAAATATTTATTATCGCCCACCGCTAATTCCGCTAATAGTTATTCACCAGCTTCTTGTTTGAATTTTCCCGTTCCACCTTAAATGGTGCAGCAGTTACATTCTGGCGCTTCAGGCGTCAACACTGTTGGACTATTTAAGGTGGAACGAGAAGCTAGCTAGATAGCTCCCGAAACATTAGCATGCTATTAGCGATTTTTTATGCTTGTTATGAAGAAAACGACCATAATACATTGAAACAACATTAAACTAAGATAAAACGATAGTTATTGTAATTTTTAACTGAGAAAATACTCACATTTGTGTGTTTCTTTGGTCGCTTGCGCAGCCATCTTGCCGGTTTTTCTTTTTTTCTGATAACACTGTTTGGAGTGTGCCTCTGAAAAATCTTGGTTTGGAGGGCCATGTAGCCCTAACACTGCCCTACCCCTCCATCTCAGCAAAATTGGGACACCCTAACCCTAGACGTGAACGCGCAAAACAGAGGGCTAAGGGCTAAGTGGTAGGGGCAAAGGGTGAAATGGCATTGGGCCTTAATGTAGGTAAACATGAACCGCCAGCCTTAAACACTCTCTGCACTTACTCTCTTTAACCACTAGAGGGCAGAAAGCTCTCAATGCCTGGGCGATATCTGCATGTGTGAGCAGTTTGCAGTTCACACCTGCAGTAAAGCTTGACCTGAATGAATGACCTTGGTTGAAGCCAAACTGCTCAGCCATCCAGGCCAGCAAATCCGGTCTACAGTGCACGGTCAAGTACCAGTCAGTGTCTTGAGTTTATAATGGTAATGTGAGAGCCTCGCAGCAGCCCTTTGTCTTCCAGGTTTAGTATGCAGCGCTGACTTTTGCAGACGGCTCTGAATGGAATACAGGATTAGGTTTCTCTGTGCCTGATGGATTTTTCCATGGGTGAACCAACTGTTTACAGATTTTTGCTCATGCACACCTTCAAATGGCAACATTCATTCATCCATACCATGACAAAAACTAAATAATTGATGTCATTTTCAGAATCAGAACAGGTCATTGGCCAAGTCGAACTTATAAAAAAAGCTGCCTGGCAATAGCTCATGTTAAAACAGACCTGCTAACAAGTAACTAATTTAGAGTTGAACAGAAAAGGTAAAAAACATACACATAATGAGAAGAAGAAGAAGAAGAAGAGAAACGTATGGATGCTTTGATGGATGCTTTGTTCATTCCTCTATTCCAGTAGTGGCAGCATTTATGTACAATACAACTCTAGGATTATTGGCAGCCTTTATATAAATTAAGAAAAATCAATATATTAACCCCTTAAAATCCCAAGGTTATTATGTACTAATGCTTGTTATTCAATAAGTACAGGGACGTCTGTGCCGGTTGAGCTATTCTTAGGTTATTTAAGTGTGTAATAAAACTTTGGGCCCACTGGTGGGCCCTGGCCATCTAAGGTTTTAAATAAACCACACATGAAATAAATGTTATTTTTGGCCTAAACATATTTCTGGTTATGCTGCATATTTTTATTGCTACACTTTTTGTTACATTTTTTAGTTTTATTAGTAAACATAGGTTTAAAAAATTTTGGCAGCACATAATTAACATTTGGTGAAGCCTCCGCTTGTGAGAATAACAACTTTGGATTGTTGGAGAACACATGTTGAACACATTCTGCTATTCCATGCAGAATATTTTTTGGATCATTTTTTGGGTCATCGCTTGTGGATTGCCCTCTGCCACGCACACAACAGGTTTTAAAGGAGTTCAAATCTGGAGAGTTAGAGGTCAATTGCAATTTTTTTGTGTGTTCTGGGTGAATTTTAATGTGTGTTTGGGATCATTATCTTGCTGAAAGATCCAACCACAGCCAAGTTTTAACCTTCTGGCAGAGGCAGACAGACTTTGGGCTAAAATCTCCTGGTATGTAGTGGCCATTGAGTTTCTCAAGAGCCCCTGGGCCACTAACAGCAAAACAGCCCAAAAGTATTAGTGATCCACCACCATATTTGACAGTGGGCATCAGGTACTTTTCATTATATGCAGTCCCTTTTTTCCGAAATGTAATGATGGTGGATGAAAAAGTTGAATTTTCATCTCACTGGGCCATGTCACATGATTCCATTTGTAATTCAAATGGCATTTTGCAAAGTTCACGTGTTGCATTTTGTGGCTTCTTTCGTGGATATCTTCCAAAAACGTTCTGGTCATGGAGGTTTTGTCTGACAGTGAAATATGAAATTTGAAAAACCCAAGATTCAACTAAAGTGTGCAGTTCTGAAACTGTGAGCTTTGTGTACCTCTTTG